TCCAATTAACTGAGGTTTTACGAGGATGTTAGATAAACAAAACACTAATGTAAAAAAAAAAAAGCCAATCTAGTAGTTCAACTCTCTTAATTTCCCAGATTAAAAAAAACAAAAACAAAAACAAAGCAAACAACAACGGAAAGTTCTAACATATAAACAGAATTTGCCATCTGGAGGAAAAAAAATCAAGGCTAGAACTTACTACTGGGCCAATAAACTAGAATATACCGCCTCTCAATTTATGCTTGAAACCACACCTTAGAAGTTAATTACATCTTTTAAATAAATAAATAAATAAATAAATAGGTGAAATAAAATTAAAGACTTAAAAGCAACAGCCAAAAGAAAGTTACCTCTGTAAGGATGATATATCTGTTGTCTTTAAGGCGGGTCATTTAGCATAATAAACCTTATAATAAATAGCAAGACACCCACCCACATCTTTATACCTTCTCTGTGACCACTCACATCCATCAGCCCAACTCCTCTTCTGCAGCACAGCCTTTAAAAGTGGTATTCCCAAGGGTACTGCCCTTCTCACTCCACTCATTCTCCCTGAATGAGTCAAAATCATGACAGTAGATGAACTATGACTATTCCAGTAGCTGAGAACTATCATTGGAGCAGCTAAAAATATATAAATGCTCAGGCTCCAACTCAGACTTAACTAATGAACAACAATCTCTGGGAATGAAGCCTAAGGACCTCTATGTTCCCCACTTCTATATGCTCCTTACTCAAGAACCATGTCCTCTATCTACTTAACACAGTGACTAGCATACGTACGCAACACAGCCAACATTTGCTGAATAATGTTGTGGAAACACAAAACAGCAAGTTTAAACATCTTCAATTGTAGAACTGTGTAGTGTTTAACAAATTATCAAGCTACTAGGGTAATTACATTAGAAAGCCACTGTTTAACAATACTAGCTAAGTATAAGCAGTTGGGTAAATTAAGGGCTTTAAGTACTTCTCTACCACTGGTATAGGTTAAAGAAAACTCATCTTTTCTTGAAAGTCCACAAGATAATGTAAGTAGCCACAAAGGATTTAAATATAACAAGGCCAAATTAACAAGAGTTACAGAAAGCTAGAAAAACCAAGAGTTTTTTAAAAGAAAAATCGTTAACTCATTTGAAGGCTAAAACTACCCTGCAGATATCTGCAAATAATATTAATCTACTGTTGCACAAAACTACTCTCTCAGAAGTAGTAATTAAATTCCCAAGGAAAAATTAAAATTAATTTGGCAACCTTTTCAAATTTCAATCTTTTTCTCCTGCAAATTCACTTTCAAATTCACTAATAACATACTTGATTTCATATTAAAAAGTAGCATTGGGGAGCAGAGGATTTAAATTTCTTAGAATGAACAGTAAGCTCTCTAATGTGAACTAAGAAAACAATGGTTTTTAATTTGATAAACTTAAAAACTTACTGCCACATTAAACAAACGTTATTTTTTTTTTAATTGAAAAACCTAGACAACTAAAACTTCAGGGGAATATAAAGAGATCTTATAAATCAATAAAAAGGAGCAAACGAGCAAAAGCAAAGGGCAATTTACAACAGAAATACCAACACCTAATAAACATGTTAAAAGTTCTACTTCACGCTTTGTTTTTATAAAGCAGCAAATTTTTTTCATTGATGATTGTTTTATTCCAATCAAGCACCCGACTGGTGTGGGGAAACTAATAGAACCTTTCTGAAAACTATGTGATAGGCAGTACGTATCAAATGCCTTGAAAATAACCACATCATTTGACTTGGCAAATCGATTTATCCTAATAAGACATTCAAAGATTTATATAGGAGGATATTACCAATGAAGTTTGCAAAAGCCACAAACTGGAAAACATAAAGGAAGGCCAATAATAATCGGTTGGTTAGATAAATTAGTTTAGATCTGTAATCATCTAAATCCTGGAAAAAGTTATTAACAAGAGAATGTTGTTGAGATTCCTTCTGTTTTTGTAACCTGCTTTTTCCTACTGAAAACATAAAGAGAACACATAGCGTGATTCTGTTGCTATTAAAAAATATGTATAGCTCACCCAGAGGTCTGGAGAGATAACTACAGTTTAAATTTTGGTGCATCTCTCTTTGTTGATCTCATCTTTTTCCCCCTTGTCTAGTCAGTTTTTCCTTACAGTGCATGTATTACCCGTATAACTTTATAAATCTCTTAACATAAAAAACCCATACTGTAACAAAAGCCTGATTTAGATCTAGTAAGTTTGGAGAAAAAACAGTCTGAAATAAATCTTATTCTTTGATTTACTGATATTTTGAAATAGAAACTTAAGAAGGAATAGATATTTATATATTCTGGAATTCCATTTAAGAGCATCCTTAACATGAAGTTGACTAGAAAAAAGACAGTTTTCAAAAATCAGGCATAGAAACACGGTAAAAGAAGAACACCTAAAAAAAAAGACCTTAGTATTTTATAGTCCCTATTAGCTCAGTTCATCTGCGTTTATTCTCTCCTCCCTAAACTAACAAAGAAGGAATGATGTCATATGCATTAGCTACATCTCTGTTCCATAAGTCCTATAAAGAACTTGCAACGTTTGGCCTCAGTGATTAAGACACACCTAAGAGCTGAGAAAGTTGGATGAGATTTACTACAAGAAAACAAGTTAAAAGGTTAAATAATATCCATTATCCACGAGTTTTTTAAGCTAGTTAAAATGCCAATAAGCTAGATAAGTTTGAAATTTTTAGACTGTATATACTGTAGTTGTACACAAATGAAAAGAGAATTCAAAGTTTTACTCAATTCTTTTAATAATGTCCTCAAAACGGAAAAACACCTCATTTTAGTGGCATAAGAACTGTCATATTTTTAGAATCAGAAAAAAGAGCAATAAAACTTATCTTCCTTCTCCATCCCTTCAATTTCCTCCTTAGACTGCAGTATCTCTATGAAAGTTTGCGATTTCCACAGTTCAATACCAACACAATACATCAGATATTTTTTACTATTCCTCAAAATAGTCTTCAAAGAGCCTGAAGAGATGGTTCAATCGGAAGTGCTGCTTACTAGACAATACTGTAAAAATCTGTTAATCATGCAAACTGAACAAGTAGGCAGTGACCTACTACTGTAAATTTGTCAGTGAATATTAGCCAACCAATTTTAAGGGAATAAAAAAAGTAATGACTGACCTACAAGAAGGCAACAGTAACTCGCTCGTATGTATCGTTTCCTTACACGTCACTAGTGTTTTCTAAAAGTTGCACATTTTTATTCCTCAGTCATATCCCTGACCCCTCATTAGAACTGTTTTTTCCAAACAAATGTAAACTTTCGATTTCCTGAAGTTCAAAAGTACAAAATCTGACCCATGAGATTAAATGGGTTGTGGTTATCAATTTAAACCAAGTCTACCTCACTACGAAATAAAAATTATCAAAAGAGTCCAGGAGCAGAAAGCCTCTACTTGCTAACTCACAATAGAGTCTTGTCTAATATTAGTAACACTGCGTCTTGTTGTTTTAGCTGCAAAGCTGGGTGTGCAATCTGCAGCTTCCATCAGCTTCAAGTCAGTCTTACGCTAGCTCTGTAAAAAGTAGCAGTCAGGTCCCAAACAAACAGCAAAGACATAAAAAGATACAGGCAAAGCCTCACCATCAGAAAAGAAGGCCCATCAGCACCTCTTCCGAGAAACAGTTCCCTTCCCCCACCTTTAAGTAGGCACTTAAGACTGCCAAGCAGATCCATTTCTTTATTAACTGGTGCCCACTTGGGGCAACCGTACACCAAGCCGCTCTTAGGCCTGCTCCAACCCCTTCCGAAAGTGCCCAAGCGAGACTGAAAGCTGGGGTAACCCTCTTGGGGACCCCGTTCTTCCTGCTCTTCTCCACCCGTCCTCCGCCCCGCCCCGCCCCTGTAAGCGCTCCTCCGGCCAGAGGAAGGACACCGGGCCCAGGGACCGGCAGGAATTGCCCGCAAGAAAAGTCCTAGGCGGCCGGAGGCCTCCGCCATAGCAGGACCTGGAAAGCACCGCCCCCAGCGCACCTCCCCACACCCGGCGAACCGGCGAACGTCTGCTTTCGACACCCTCGATCCCCAGCAGAGGCGACGGGGGAGCCCGGGCCGGGAGGCACCGAGCAAGGCGACGCACCAGGCCCGAGCCTGCCCCTCAGGCCGCCGAACGTGCTCCCCAGTCCGGCCGGGTCAAGTCGGCGCGGCGGCCACCCTCACCTGGATGACCTCGTTGACCTCCCGGATACATTCCACCATGTGTTGCAGAATCTGCTCGGCCGTGAGCACCTCGTAGCGGTAATCCTCCTCCTGCTCGTGCCCTGGCCCGCCGCCGCCGCCGCCGCCGCCGCCGCCGCCGGGCCCCAGAGCGCTGCCGCCGCCGCCGCCCGTCTCCCCGCACAGCAGTCCGTCCCGCTCCCCGCCGACGCCCAGCCCGGGCTCCACCAGCTCCACCTCGCCCAGATCCAGGTTATCATCGTCCGGCTCGTCCTCGTCCTCGTCCTCCTCCTCCTCGGCGCCGCTGTCCTCCTCGCTGCACTCCTCGTCCTCGTCGAACTCGTAGTTGTAGCCCTCGTCCGAGTCCATGGCGCGACGCGCGAGGGCCCGGCGGACGCTGGCCCTGAGGCGAGGAGAGGGCGGGGACGCCGAGGCCCCGGCTCTCGCTCCGGCTCCGGCTGATGTCCGGACGCAGGCCTGGCTCCGGCCCGGCGGGCCGCGGCTCCTCCCCGGGCGCGGCGGTTGGCGGTTGGCGGCAGGCGGCGGCGGGGAGGGCGCGGAGGAGGGAGGGAGGGAGCTAGGGGGCCGCTCGCCGCCCGCCTCAGTCAGACGCGGCTCCGCTCCGGCCTCCGAGAGAAAACAGTCCCCAGCGCCACCTCCACGGCCGCTGCTACCGCTACTGAGCCAACAAAGGGGCGTGCGTCACCGCGTCGCGCTGCGTCGTCGCGTCACTCCTCTTGGCGTCACCGCGCCCCGCCCCGCCGCCCCTGCGTGGAGTGCGGGGAGACCCCACGGCCCGGCCTGAGCATGGGAGCGCGGCGCCGCGGGAATCGCCTTCTGGGTTCCGGCCGCGGTCGCTCTGTGGACCGACACTGGTGAACCCTGCCCTTGAGGAGGCTGCGGCCTCGTCGTCACCGCGAGAAGGGCCCCTGGACCCCGTGGTGCTTAGCGCCGCAGGCCATTGGGATCCAGCCCTTCTCTGAATCCAGCGAAGGCGGCCTTTCCGCCCGGCGGTAGAGACGCTTCCCGCCCGCTCTGGAATGATATTCCGGGAACACCTCGGTTGTTGAGCTAAAATTCCTGTTGTCCGGGCTACTAAATGGGAATCAGTTTCACGCGGAACCTCTAAACTGTGTGACAGGTGAACCTCGTTTTCAGTACTTGGGCTGCTGCACGCTGCTACGGACGTGCAGTGGTTTCTAAGTCGCCGATAGTGACGTCATTTTAGAAGAGCGTTTCCTGAACTCCGCTCAGCGAGCACCTACCGATTGAGGGCCCTAGCGATGTAAACAGGCATGGCTTTCCTTAATTGAGCACTACGTAAGGGCTTTACATACATTCTCATCTATCACGGAGCCGCAGTACCCATTTTATATCTTGAGACTCAAAGGGAGGGACTTGACCAAGACCACAGAAAACGCCCTGGTCCAGCGGCCGGGTGGGGTACATCAATCATAAAAATACTTTACAATGCATATTATGGATTACATACTACGAAGTATATTAAATGCATTGTAATAAAACACAATACAAGCAGTAATAGAAATACCTACAAGGACCAACTCATGGAGACGGTACTTATCTCTTATCTGAAAAGTACTGTGTAAGTTGCCTGTTGATGGATGGCTAGGAGTTTAACAGAGAAGGTAGGTCTAGCCTGAGACCAACAGAGAAGATGATTTAGCCTGAGAGAATAATAGAAGCAAAAACACAGGAGGTGTAAAGTAGTTTCGTGTCAGCAGCTTGCAGTGCAAGAAGAGTAAATGGGAAATTATTAGGCAAGTTAAGGGCCAGAACAGTAAAGTATTTTATGCCATTCTAAGAGTGGACTTAAATTTTTGTAAGTAGCTCTGGAGAACCAGAGAAGTGTCCTGAAGGAGGAAGAGGCCTGAGAAAGCACCCCCTGGGGGTACCCTGAAGGATTGGCCAGATACTTTTAAAAATCTGAATCCCTATCTTACTGACAAATCTTACTGTTCAAACTACAGGTTCCCTTTGGAAATTTATTTTTTTAAGTGAAAAATTCTATGGGGCGCCTAGGTGGCTCAGTCAGTTGAGCATCTGACTCGAATTAGGCTCACATCATGATCCCAGAGTCATGGGATCAAGCCCCAAGTGTAGCTCCAGAGGAGCTTGCTTAGTATTCTTTCTCTCCCTCTTCCCCTCTCCCCTGCTTGCTCTCTTTCTGTATATGTATATTTTTAAAATGAAAAATTCCTTTACGATGTGAATAAGCTACCAATTTGTCAATTTTGTATATGTTTAAATAATCAAATTTCCTGAAATCAGGATTTGTAAATTAAGGGTTTTTTTTATATTTTTTAAAATTTATTTCTAGGAGATGGGGCGCCTTGGGTGGCTTAGTCGGTTGAGCGTCCGACTTTGGCTTAGGTCATGATCTCGCGGTTCGTGGGTTCGAGCCCCGCGTGGGGCTCTGTGCTGACTGCCAGCTCGGAGCCTGGAGCCTGTTTCAGTCTGTGACTCCCTCTCTCTCTGACCCTCCCCTGCTCACGCTGTCTCTCTCTCTCTCTCTCCTGGAAATAAGTAAAACATTAAAAAAAAACCTTTAAAAAAATTTATTTCTAGGAGAGAGAGAGAGAGACAGCGTGAGCAGGGGAGGGTCAGAGAGAGAGGGAGTCACAGACTGAAACAGGCTCCAGGCTCCGAGCTGGCAGTCAGCACAGAGCCCCACGCGGGGCTCGAACCCACGAACCGCGAGATCATGACCTAAGCCAAAGTCGGACGCTCAACCGACTAAGCCACCCAAGGCGCCCCTGTAAATTAAGGTTTTTAACATCAATGCTGGTAGGTCTGGCTCCTTTGATTCTGTTTCTACTTAGTAGTTTTAGGTTGTTGCCACTGCTGGCTAAGGACACTAGCAATCCTCCTTTCTACCCCATCCCCATTTCTGTATACATGCGAGAAAAATTCAGTAATAGTTGTCAGTACCCTCAAATCCTTTGCCCCATTTTTCTTTTCAGTCTCCTCCTACCTTGTATGAATCCCACCATCCTTCTCCTCCCCTTTCGTACTAGAGCAGCTGACCATTACTGGAGAAATGCGCATAATCACATACATTCAGTTATTAAGTTCCAGTCACCAAGCACAACTGAACCATCAACACCATTCGGCAATCCTGCTAAATTTTTCTGAATTCTCCTGCCTCTCTAGACAACTCTTGCAAACTTTCACCAGTTTTCTCAAACCCCCATCGTTGCCCTTCCAAATCCTCTCAGGATATATAACTTATATCACAGAGAAAATTTAAATCGTGAGGACCGATGTAACTGAAGCATGCTGAGCAAAGAAGAGTGTTGAGGGATAAAGTCAGAGAATGCCTATCAAGGCAAAGGCAGGGGGCCTTGTAGGCTATCTTAAGAAGTTTACATTATTGCAAAGGGAAGCATTAGCAAGTTTTAAACAAGAATGAAACAATATAATATGTATTTTTTTTAATTGCTAAAAGAAAATAACTATGCTTTGGAGAGAATGGACTATCAAAGCAGAGAAATTATGAGGCTACCCCGGTAATTTGGGTGAATGATAACGGCTTGGGCTAGAGATGTGACAGTGGAGATGGTGAGAAATAGTTTCAGGTATAATTTGAAAGTAGAGCTAATAGATTTGCTGATGATTTCACTGTTGGGTTGATAGAGGAATCAAGCATGCCTATTAGATTTGGGGCTTGAGGAACTGGGTCAATGGAGGGACCATTTCCTGAAACGTTAAATTTCAGATGCTTGTTAGACATTCAGAGAGAGATGTTAAATAAGCAGTTATATCAACTAATGTGCAAGACAGAAGGTATGGAGAGGTAGGGCTAAAGTATGAATTTTCAGAGTTTATGTCAACATTGTTGAGAAGCAACACAGACTAAAGGTCAAGAGCTTAGGCTTTGGAGGAAAGAGACCTGAATTTGCCTGTGCCCCTCCAGTTGCTGTCTATAACCTTAACCAAATTACTGGACCTCTGTGAGCTTGCCTTAAAAGGATTATAATTCCTATTCTCATGGGATTATTTCTATCAAATGAATAATGTATTTAAAGCCCTTGACACAGTGCCTGACACATAGTTAAGTGCTCAAAATTAGGACTTTAAAAAAGTGTCATAAGTCAGCTTGTATCTTGTGGGGAAAACTGTAACCAACTGGATTTATAACCTTTTTTTTTTTTTTTACAAATAGTTTATTGTCAAGTTGGTTTCCACATAACACCCAGTGCTCATCCCCACGAGTGCCCTCCTCCATGCCCATCTCTCCCCTCCCCTCCCACACCCATCAGTCCTCAGTTTGTTCTCAGTATTCAAGAGTCACGGTACGCCTCTCTCCCTCTCCCCCACTATTTCTCCCCTTCTCCCCCATGGTCCTCCGCTAAATTCCTCCTAATCCTCCTATACGTGCAATCATATGGTATTTGTCCTTCTCTGTCTGACTTATTTCGCTCAGCATAACACCCTCAAGGTCCATCCATGTTGCTACACATGGCCAGATTTCATTGTTTCTCATTGCCATATAGTATTCCATCGTATAGATAAACCACATCTTTTTGATCCATTCGTCCGATGATGGACACTTAGTCTCTTTCCATGTTTTAGCTATTGTTGAGAGTGCTGCCATGAACATTGGGGTACATGTGCCCCTATGCATCAGCACTCCTGTATCCCTTGGGTAAATTCCTAGCAGTGCTATTGCTGGGTCATAGGGAAGTTCTAGTGTTAACTTTTTGAGGAACCTCCACACTGTTTTCCACAGGGGCTGCACCAGTTTACATTCCCACCAACAGTGTAAGAGGGTGCCTGTTTCTCCACATCCTCGCCAGCATCTAGAGTTCTCTGATTTGCTCATTATAGCCACTCTGACTGGCGTGAGGTGGTATCTCAGTGTGGTTTTGATTTGTATTTCCCTGATGGGGGATGCTGAGCATCATTTCATGTGTCTGTTGGCCATCTGGATGTCCTCTTTGGAAAAGTGTCTGTTCATATCTTCTGCTCATTTCTTCACTGGGTTGTTTGATTTTCGGGTGTGGAGTTTGCTGAGTTCCTTATAGATTTTGGATACTAGTCCTTTATCTGATACGTTATTTGCAACTATCTTTTCCCGTTCCATCGGTTGCCTATTAGTTTTGTGGATTGTTTCCTTTGCCGTGCATGGATTTATAACTTTTTAATTGATTTTATTTGACTTATGCAAGTATGCACACGGCCTCTATCATCCTCATTTTCTAAGGAAGAATATTGGTCTGCTTTTTTCTCAGAAACTTTTTCCATAATCTCATAATAACTTCTTTTTTGGCCAGTATCCTGGGCAACATCATAATGCTTTTGAATTGGGGGGCCTCTTATTCATGAATAAACATTTTTTAAATGTTTATCATTTTGAGAGAGAAGAGACAAAGTGTGAGCGGGGGAGGGGCAGAGAGAGAGGGAGACAAAGAATCTGAAGCAGGCTCCAGATTCTGAGCCATCAGCACAGAGCCCAACTCGGGGCTCGAGCTCATGAACTGTGAGATCATGACCTGAGCCGAAGTTGGCTGCTTAACTGACTGAGCCACCCAGGTGCCCCCATAGATAAACCTTAACCAGATTTTTAGCAGTGCTCACTCCATTGATATTTTGGAAATTATCTTGGAATCAGGTTAGGTTATAGAGCTATTTAAGGAAACCAGTATAACAACTTCTCTCTGGCCCCAAATTGTTCAAGGTATGACCCACATACAATGTTTTTTTAATGACTTGATCTTAAAGGTATTGCCGGTGTACTGCTTTCTTAGCTGTGGTGATTACTAGGTAGAAGTACAGTAATCTGTAAACAACATGACAAGGCCCTTGAAACAAGTTAATATTTTCTTGGTGCCAAAAGAATCACTGTTGGTAACTAGGTATTCCTCTTATCCCCATGTCCTAATAAGGTCAAACTATATTAGTATACATTTATTAAGTATCTACTCTCAGAGCAAAACTCCATAAACATTTATATGCTCACCAAGTGGTACTGAATGAAATTCCAATGGGAAGAACATGCAAATGCTTTTCAGATGTATAGAAATTAAAACAGTCATGGAATTTTTCTAAGGGCAGGTACACAGAGCTGTAAGTTATGGAAAAGCCTCTAGTAATTAATGACAGGGCACTAGGGTGACTGACTTTAGCTGATACAGGTTTCCGGGGATTTGGAATTTTTAGTGCTAAAACTGGGAAATCTAAGGCAAACTAGGATGGTTAGTCACCTTACTTGGCACCTCACCAAACATTTTTGTGTAACAGAATTAAAACAGTCTTTTCAAAAATAAATGGAAAGAAATTACTTTTTGTCATTTTGTTTATAAGGTTTATTTTAATGCAGCATTTATTGCTTTTTTAAAAATGTTTTAGTCCTTGTGTTTTATCAGGCGAGACGTAAAAAAGTTAAACTTTAATTTTAAAATAAATTTAAGATTAAGTTTTACCAAAAGTGCAAAGAGAGACTAATAAGCTAAATGAATACTTTGCATTTGTTTAAAAACATCTGCGTGTGTACCTACAAACAACAACTGAGTGTTACGTCATGTTGGGAGGTAGATCTTATCTAGAGAAACTGAGGTTATATGCTTCATTAGAAGTCTAGCCCATGGGTGGCTCAGTCGGTTAAGGTCCGACTCTTGATTTCGGCTCAGGTCACCATATCATGGTTCATGGATTTGAGTTGCAGGTCAGGCTCTGAGCTGATAGCATGGAGCTTGCTTGGGATTCTCTCTTTCTCTCCCTCTTTCTCTGCCCTTCCCTGCTCTCGTGCATGTGCATGCGCTCTCTCTCGCTCGCTCTCTCTCTCTCTTTCTCAAAATAAATAAATAAACTTTAAAGAAGAAAAAAAAGTCTGGTAGAGATATTAATAACCAAGACAGAACTGAAATTCATGACTACAACCCTTCCTTGTCTTTCTTCCAGAATAAGATTTCATGAAAGTAATTCTCTACAACAAGTGGTAAGATAATGCTGGCACTGTAAGTAGAATACACACCCCTCATGCAATTAGACAAATGTACAAAATGTACTGCAGTGTCTGTGTGATCCATAACTGCAGTACACATTAATTTGGCCTAAATGTGTGCTTGTACTCCAGCAAAAAGTAGCAATGATCATCCCCCCAAAAGGAAATGTGTTTGTCCTAATGATTTAACTACTTGAAGAAAAAAGTAGTTTTATAACAAAAGTTTTCAAAAGAAATGCTTACCTGTGGTTCATGGTATTTCTAGTTTGTTATGTTGCAACAAAATGGATGTATTTGAATGAATGGATGAATGAATGGACAAAAAGTGAACAAATCTATTATTGAGTCTCTACTATATGCTAGAGTAAGTGTGTTATGTTTTTAATTTACTCCTTATGATCTTGTGAAGTTGGACTTCTTAACTTCATTCAATACATAAAGAAAAAGGCTCAAAGATGAAAAATAATCTGCCAAAGTTCACAATGGATGCAGAGCTTTGATTCCAGGTTTTCAGAGTTCAAGTCCACTATTTTTACCCTGCAATTCTCAGTAATTGTAATAAGATCTGATTCCTGTACTAAATTGTGCCTTTAGGGGGTGCTGGGGTGGCTCAGTCAGTTAACATCAGTTAAGCATCCGACTCTTGATTTCGGTTCAGGTCATGATTTCATGGTTAGTGAGTTAGAGCCGTTGTTGAGCCCCTTGGTCCAGCTCCATGCTGATAGCATAGAGCCTACTTGGAATTCTCTGTCCTGTTTTTCTGCCCCTCCCCCTGCTTGCATGTGTGCACACTCTCACTCTTTCTCAAAATAAATAAAGAAATAAACTTAAGGGGCGCCTGGGTGGCTTAGTCGGTTAAGCGTCTGACTTTCGCTTAGGTCATGATCTCGCGGTTCGTGGGTTCGAGCCCCGCGTCGGGCTCTGTGCTGACTGCCAGCTCAGAGCCCAGAGCCTGTTTCAGAGTCTGTGACTCCCTCTCTCTTTGACCCTCCCCTGCTCACGCTGTCTCTCTCTCTCTCTCCTAGAAATAAATAAAACATTTAAAAAAAAAAAGAAATAAACTTAAAAATAAGAAATAAAAATAAAATGTGCCTTTGTATTTGTTTTAATGAAGTAATTGCTATCAAGCCTACTGTTGTACTGATTGACAGCATAAACATTGACTGTATGCAATGTTTGTTTCTTAGAAATAGGTCATAAAAATAGAATAGTGAAAAGTAGATGTGTTATCCTCTGTTTACATAGTCCTGCTTTATTTTTGTAGCTGCAATCTTAGCATTTTTAAGAAATGCTTATTAATTTTAGGAGAGAGAGAGAGAGAGAGCACATGGGCACATGAGTGGGGGAGAGGCAGAGAACGAGGAAAAGAGAGAGAGAATCCAAGCTGACTCCTCAATTTCAGTGCAGAGCCTGATGCAGGGCTTGATCCCACAAACAGTGAAATCATGACCTGAGCCAAAATCAAGAGTCTGACACTTAACTGACTGAGCCACACAAATGCTCCAAATGAAAACTTAAGATATGTAAGTCATGTGGTGGCGGTTTGGGTTTTTTTTTGGTTGTTTTTTTGTTTTGTTTTGTTTTTTTGGTCAATCAGTAGTTATTTATTAGTGTGTACCCAGTGCAACAGACCTTTCAATGACATTCTAGAGAAAATTTTTATAAAGAACACTACCACCTAAGAAATCAAATTATTTAAGGGGAAGTGTAAATGAAAAGGTTAGCTATAAAAATGGTAACTGTGCATCAAAGAAAGATAGCAAACCAAGAACAGTACAGGTGGTAACTGCTAAAGAAGTTAAAAGGAGACAGAAGTTACTAAACTGGGGTGTTCTAAGAAAGCATTGTAGGGGCGCTGGGTGGCTCAGTTGGTTGAACATCTGACTTCGGCTCAGGTCATGATCAGGAGCTCATGAGTTCAAGCCCCGCGGCGAGCTCTGTGCTGAAAGCTCAGAGCCTGGAGCCTGCTTCAGATTCTGTGTCTCCCTCTCTCTCTGCCCTGCCCTGGCTCATGCTGGGTCTCTCTATCCCTTAGAACTAAATAAATATTAAAAATAATAATAATAAAAATTTTTAAACATTGTAAGCTGGACTTTCTCATACCTTTATGCCTTTGCATCTGCTGTTCCCTCTGCCTCACATCCTTCCCAGCCACTCTTTACCAGCGCCTAATCCACATGCTTAGAGACTATTGTTTTTCCAAGCCATTCTAAACCTGGCACTTGATGCCTAGAACGTGAGTAGTCCGTGCATCTCCCATTCCTAACACACTTTCAAGTTTTTGATAATGTTGGAATGAATTAACATAAGCCAAAAACTATAGGCCAATAGACATTTATTGTCTTCTTACCGAAAATGTGTGAATTTTGTCGACATTATATCAACATTGGTGTTCTTACCTGTTCATTATTTTACTTTTCCATGACTTGCAGGTCACATGGGGGAGGTGAAGGGGACCCAAGGTGCACGTCCTCCACAGCTCTCCTGATGTAGGGTTTCTCTAGGGCTAATGCCCATGTCACCTCACATCCCAGCGGTACCTCAGCTTCTCATGCTTTGTAGCAAGAGAGGATTGATGTTGGAATTCAGCAGATTGGACACAACTGATACAATGTAGTCCGGTTATGAGTGAGTAAATGACTGCAGCAGGAAGCAAAAGAGAAATGGGTCAGGGACTTGAAGATTGGAGTAACTGAGGGAACCCTGGAACAGCGGCACCTGGAAGGTCCACCTGTCCCCAAAGTCTCATTTTTAAGTTTTCCTTTGACTCTCTTTTGGTTTAAGGGGTCTTTTCATCTGTTTTGTTTGAGACAATAGCCATGATTCAAAAGGCATAGTCACCCCTTCCAGCTCCAGGAACCAGATGCCACTCCTTAAGGTGATTTTGCAATGTGGCCAGAACCGGTTTTTCCATTCTGTCATTCCAACCGTACCCTCACAGACATCATCTGTAAGGTAGTAATGGAGGGCCTGTGAGACATGACTTCTCGCACAGAAGTCTTAATGAGCTGCTTCACATTTTGCTTTCTTGAAAAGAGAATTTAACACGTTGGATGCGTGGTTTAGCATACTCAAATGTGGAAGCACCGAACAGAGCTCCCATGTTAAAGAATTTGAAAGGTCCATAAAATAATTACATCATTACCTTCTATCTAAATGTTATTAAAATAGAACAGTCTCAAAGGGTTCTTTTATAGTTATTGATGGATATTTTTACATCAAGCAAAGCTGGGTGTATTGGGACACATTTTTTGGCTGAACGATAACAAACTGCATGTATGAGCAACGAGCCTTTCTTTTCTTCTAGGTGAGTGTGTGCAGGAGGTTGCAAGTGGAGAGGGTCAGACAGGAGGATGTTGTACTGAAGTGAATATTCTCGCTCAGCCAACTTAGAGAGGTGCTATAGCGTGGCAGCACCATAAGCTCCAGAGCAAGAAGCCTCACTTATTAAGTACATGACTTCAAGCAAGTTACATAACCACTCAAGAGCCTGTTTTCCCTTCTAAAAATATAGGAATAACAATAGGATGTTCCTCATTGGACTGTAACAATTAACTGACAATGTAAAAGACTCATTACGTTTATCATTGTTAGACATAGAATATATACCGTGTTTTGTTTTAGACTTGAGAACATATACAAAGATGACTATTAGTCAATTTTAAAGCAATGACCCTTTGAAGAGTACACACGCTTTGTCAAATTGCTGAAAAATGTTGCTGTGCTCCTCTTGCATGCTTGTGTTAACTTGACAAGCCCACTGTTTGTTCACCAATGGTATTTACTATGCTAAGATGTTGAGAAGAAGATAAAATCACTTCAGGGGCGCCTGGGTGATTTAGTAGGTTAGTCGTCTGACTTTGACTCAGGTCATAATATCATGGTTTGTGGGTTCAGGCCCCACATTGGGCTCTGTGCTGACAGCTCGGAGCCTGGTGCCTGCTTTGGGTTCTGTGTGTGTCTCTCTCTCTGCCTCTCCCCAACTCATGCTCTGTTTCTCTCTCTCTCTCTCTCTCTCTTTCCCTCTCCCTCTCTCTCTCTCTCAAAAAATGAATAAGCATTAAAATTTTTTAAACCACTTCAGTTCTCAAAATGCTCACAGACTGGTAAGGGAAACAGACATGTAAACTATTAATTACAGTACAATATGATAAGTACTATAATAAAATATGATCTGAATATTAGGGGAGCAAGAAGATAGGCATCTCAGTGTAGGAGGCAGACAAGGGTGTCATGGAGGGCTTCCTAGGGAGGGTGTGGCTTGAGCTGAATAGTGGTGGAAAAATCATGTTCTGGAAATAAGGGAGTGTGTATATACATATAAGTGTGAAAGAATACGGCATATTTGAGCCAATGCTGCGTGGGTAACTACCAGTAGGTCAACATACCTGAAATTTAGGGTATACGTAAGACGTAGAAATGGCCTTGTTTTTTCTCTTGTGCCCTTTTTATATTCCTTTCCCTTTTCCCATTCTTTTTTTGTCGTCTTTGTCCTTCCTCCTCAGGTAACTTGGCTAAAGATTCCACAGCTTGAATGGTAGAGCTAGAAATCAAAGCCCTGATTCATCTTTCTGTTTCCAGAGTCAGTGCTTCTCTTACTATGCTACTTTGAAGATTGTTCACTCTGTTGATAAAGCTTGTCATTATTTTCCTAGGATTTTTGTGAAGGAGACGATGTCAGGTTGCTTGCTTTACTAAACTAATTTTGATCATTTCATTTAGGTTATATGAGGCAGTAGGATGGATACAAGGAGGTTAAGATGTGTTCCATATTAATTCAATGAAATATGCATTTACTGAATGCAACTGAACATAAACCATCATAGTAGCTGTTATTGAAAAAATACAAAACAGGTTGCACTTCCTATCCTTAAGAAGCTGACAATCTAATACGGGAAAGGATATAGGAAATAAGCTAATGCAAGACAGCTCATCTAACAGCTGTCTGTTAAACCCTAGCACAAGAGCAGTATTTCTCAACTTTTTATTTTCATTATCAGCCCCTAAGGAACGTTTTTAAACCTCTCCACCTTAATAACTTTCCCCCAATGAAATTTTACTACCACAGATAGACTGTGTATCTGTATACTGTATGTATATCTGTGCTTTATATACAAAAAGAGCATTTTTTTTTCCACACACACCCCCAGACCAATTTTTGCCCCCTTAGGGGCAAATATTGCCCCTGTTGAGGATGTATGCACTAGGCTAACACTACCACTTTCAAAGTATAAGATTGAGCAGTCAAATTCTAGTTTCAGAATTTTTCTAAATATCTACCAATAATTCAATCTAGTTTTAAAATTAAATTTCCTGAGTTTAAAAATAAAACCGACAGCATTAGATCAAAAATAAAATAATCAAATATATTCATGCTTGTGTGGCTGACTTCAGGGCTGCCACATTGTGCAACTCCAGGGGTGTGTAGTCACAGTATATAGTCTGTGATGGGAATAAAGGGAGAGAATGAAAAATCATTTGAAAGCTATAGCCATGATGTGGTTGAAAGAGAAACTCACGTTCATAAGTCATTTCAACTTCTGCCCACCCTAATCATCTTAAACTTTTCCTGACATTCCTATCCTATACATATTTCCATGTGTTTGTCCTCTTCAAATGAATTCTTTGTAAATGTAAACTCACAAATTAATTTATATACAGGCCTGAAGTGTGTAGCAACTGGAAAATTTGGAGTGTTCCCACATTCACTTTAGTCCTCAGTCAGGAACTAGGAATACAAATGCCATGCTAATTTTTACTCCACATTGATACTACTTACAAATCAGTTTATCCAAGCTGAAGTGCCCACCCCAGGACAAAATTGAGTTCTTCTAGACTTATCTGCCAGGGAACTGAGGGAGGTCCCCAGCCAACAGTGAGGAGCTGCAAAGAACTGAATCCTTAGCGAGGAACTGAAAGCCTTGGTTCAAAAGTACCACGAGGAGCTAAATCCTGCCAACAACCACGTATGCACACTTGAACGTGAATCTTCCTGCAGTCAAACATTCCTGTGCGACTGCAGCCTTGGCCAACACCTTGTTTCATCCTTGTGAAAGATCCTGAGACAGGACCCAGCTAAGCCACACCCAGATTCCGACCTATAGATACTCTGAGATTAAGTGTTTGTTACTGGTTTGTTTTTGTTTTTGTTTTTGAATTGAATTCTCCTTCAACTCCAAAAGGTCTCCTTTTAGTTGTTCAGTAGGTACCAGAAGATTAGACTACACCTACTTTACACCACTATAGAATTTAGCACCTCTTCACAGCACTCCCAAAACTCGTATAATGTCTGTCCTCTCTGAATTGATGTTACATAAGGACAGGGACTCCTGGGTGGCTCAGTCCGTTAAGCATCCAACTTCAGCTCAGGTCATGATCTCACGGTTCGTGGGTTCAAGCCCTGCATTGGTCTCTGTGCTGACTGCCAGCTCAGAGCCTGGAGCCTATTTCAGATTCTGTATCTCCCTCTCTCTCTGACCCTCCCCTACTCACGCTGTCTCTCTCTCTCTCAGAAATAAATAAAACATTTTTTAAAAAGTTACATAAGGTCAGAGACTGTTCCTGTTGTGTTTATGTCTATGGACAACATATACAACATAGTTTTTAATGCTTAGAAGACATACAATAAGAAAGGTAAAGCTCTAACTTGTTTTCCCCGTTTGTTCTTTCTACCAAGTTAGATCTTAACCCTATGTCATATATCAAAATAAAATCCAGATGCATATTTAAGTACAAGGAAAGAAAATATGAAATTAGTTCAAGAATATTGGTGAATATTTAATCACCTGGGAATGGGAAAAGCATTATCAAGGAGAGCACCAATGGCAAATCTCTAAAGCAAAAGATTAATAGATGTGACTAAGTAATTTGAAGCTTCCTTCCATAAAAACCTCGTAAATAAAAGACAAAATGGGGAAAATCTTCACAATCTTCACAATAAACAAAAGGTTATTTATCTTTAATGTATTCTAAAATCTCATGAATTAATAAGACATATATACACATATTTTGTGTATTTGGGGGGTTATGGAGACATAAACTAATATACAAATGTCCAATAAATAACAAAAAAGGCAACTTTATTAGGAAATAAAGTAGAAATTAATAATAATATACAATTTTCACCTGTCAAAATGGTATATAGATTTTATAAAATTCTAATGCTGAGTTTTGAGAGGAGAGCAACAGGAACAGAATGATGATTTGTAAGAACACAAATTACTACAGGTTTTCTAGAGGGCAGTTTGTAAGCAAGAAAAAAGAAAACCTTAAAATGATCAAATGCTTTAAAAAAATTTTTTTAATGTTTATTTACTTTTGAGAGAGGGAGACAGAAAGACAGAGCATGAGCAGAAGAGGAGCAGAAAGAGAGGGAGACACAGAATCCGAAGCAGGCTCCAGGCTCCAAGCTGTCAGCACAGAGCCTAAGGCGGTGCTCGAAACCCACGAACAGTGAGATCATGACCGGAGCTGAAGTTGGATGCTTAATCGATTGAGCCACCCAGGTGCCCCTTAAACGATCATATCCTTTAATCCAGCAACATTTTTTTCTAGTAAATTAACCTAAGGGAATTAGTATCAGAGTCTAGCTCCAAAAATATTCAGGGAATGAATTGGTAAAACAAATTATAATATAAAATCAAAACCTATGCTACCACTTGAAATGATACTGTAGAGAAATATTTGATCTGGAAAGATCGTCATGATATCTGGATAAACAGGAAAAAGGAAGTTAAAACCAGTATTAGAGGATAGTTGTACAGTGTATGTGCTTTTGTATGGGCAAAAAGAAAGCTAAGAGGATTCTTCACTCACATATTGTAAAATTTTATTTACATACCATAAAATTCATCCATTTTAAGTGTATGACTCAATTATTTTTAATAGATTTACAGAGTTCTGTAACCATCACGTTTCAGTTAAAAGAATTATTCTCTTCTTATTTAAGCCTGTTTATTTATACATCTGCAATAAGCATATATAATAGGTCATTTTAAAAGTTAAATTCCTCCTTTACTACTGACTTCTCAAAAAAAAGGCAAAATATGAAATGTCAAAATAATTATAGTAGTAGTTAAAATGTTTTCCAAAGAATAAAAAAGGTAATGAGAAAACACACTTTAATTCTTATAGAGGAACTGAAGACCTACTGAGATTGAAAGATCTGCTTTCAGTTTGTGGTAGTGTGCCTATTTACAAAAGGGCTTTACTCTTTTATCTCCATCTGCCTTCTCTCCTTGACCTTGCTGATCTTCTCAACATATTTCAACTTAAAGGAATAAGGAGTTTTAATTCTGGGGCCATTATAATTCTAATTCAATCTTAATTCTTCTGATTTTTTTTTAAAGTAAGTTCTACACCCTACGTGCGACTTGAACCTACTACCCCAAGATCAAGAGTTACATGCTCTACCAACTGAGCCAATCAGGTGCCCCTAATTCAATCTTAATTCTTACATTGGATTTGGACTTGATAAACACAAAGAAAAATGAATTCAAGAAATAAATAGAACATGGAATCAGAAAAAAATGATAATAGAATAGACGGATATTTCAAAGATGAATGTATGATAACCAATTGCTATAACTGTGGAAACTATATGATATGTTCCAAATAAACACTGATTTCATGGGCAAAACCACAATGATTTTCTACCAGTAAACATCTAATGCCACCATGGAGAGATCAGATCTTAAAATGCTAGATAATTAGGGATGAGATTTAAAATTTTCTAAAATTTTATCCTGCCCAAATACATTCTGTTTTGTAGAAATAGAGATAGAACACACACCTGTGTTTCACTGTTATTATGTAAGCTAGTTCTTGAATAAATATGAAAATAAGGGAAAATGATAAAAATTCCAAAACCTTTCCATGCAATGTCAGGAAAAAATAAAATCCAAAAATACATTTTTCACACAATAGGATCACAGAATAATATGAAATGAGATTCTAGTTATCTCTACTTCAATTTCGTTTCTTTACAAATGAGAAAATCAGAAAGATCATGATCTGTCCACAGTGATATTATTATCTCAGTGTCACAAAAACTAAAAACCTTCATCTCTTTCCTCTTAATCTACTGGTTTTTACCTTAAGCCATGTTCCTATGGGAAGCAATACAGTAGAGGCTCTGGAGTCAAAGGGTTTGGTTTCACAAACAAAGAAAAAAAGAGACAAAAATAGATTCTTAATTATAGAGAACAGAGTGACAGTTACCAGAGAGGAGGTGGGGGGGGGGGGG